AGAGAGAGAGAGAGAGAGAGAGAGAGAGAGAGAGAGAGAGAGAGAGAGACTTTCTCCAGGGAGCTCCCTTGCCCCTTCCACTGTGTGAACTCAATGAGAAGATGGTCATCTATGAAGCAGGAAGCTGATCCTCACTAGGCATGGAAACTGTTGGAAACTTGATCTTAGCCTCCAGAACTATGAAAAATAAACCTGTATTTAGAGGCCACTTAATGAATTATGGTAATTCATTAAAGCAACTTGGACTAAGAGAGGGTGGGCCCCAGCATTAGAACTATAAGAAATCACTAATCTACAGACATGCGAATTCATGTATTTCTTTTTTTTTTTTTTAAATATTTATTTATTTATTTTAATTCTCGGCGGACACAACATCTTTGTTTGTATGTGGTGCTGAGGATCGAACCCGGGCCGCACGCATGCCAGGGGAGCGAGCTACCGCTTGAGCCACACCCCCAGCCCCAAATTCATGTATTTCAACTGAAGCATCATACTTATCTGAACTGGCTTTAGGAAAGTCAAGTCTGGAGTTTCTTGTATTCACAGGTAGTACTAACTTCTCAAAGATAAGCTTATCTTGCTTTCCATTCCCTTGCCTTTGATCTTTTTAACTTGTCATTTTTATAACCTTCTACAATGTTCTTTCTTAGCTTCTTTACTTGCCCTTCCAGTGAGAAAAATAAGATGACACTGGCTTATATACATACACTTAAATATACTTAGAGCCATATATCTGCAAAGAAACTGCAATGTACTTTGTCATGTTGTTGAGCATCAACGACTGGGTGTTTCATAAATATGGAGATAAAAATGAAAAAACAGGCCGTCCTACTTTTGTTGACAGGTGATCTGATTCCACTTACTTCCTCATTTGTCAGAAGATGGAGAGATTCTACTTTTTTAAACTAAGAATCCCAGAGTCCTCTACTCCTGGCCATGGGAGCATAATTCACACATGCTTTGCACTAGTTGACACTTTGCTTGCTGGAGCCCAGAAGTGGGGATTATCCAGCATTAGCAGGGCTTCATACTGAGAAAATGGACTCTAGCAGCTTGGGAGATAAGAATATTATTCCACATATCTTGGAGAAGTTTCATGCCCAGAACAAATCTTGTAGCATTAACAGGTAGATACCAGCTAAACCACTCTAGTCCCAGCATGGTAGCTTCTCAATAAATATTTTAAAAATTAATAGAAATCCTGTGGCTCTTTTCCCAAGCACTAAGGAATTGCTTACAACATTCACATTTATATATAAATTACTCATAGACAAAAATCAAAGTCTGTATTTTGGTGATTGTTTATTCTCCATGGACCATAATTTTTCTGATAGCTGAGGCTTATAGATGTGGGTGTGTTATATTTGACCCAATGAAGTTACGTCAGTCCACTCCACCTGGGGACGCCCTGATGACTAATGTCTTAGAAAGTCTCTGAGCATCTTATTCACATGGGGACAACTCAACAAATAATGCACCAAAACTTTTCAAACTGTGCATACTTCAAATTTTCAAGAATCAAAGAGGTCAACAGCTAAGTTCCCACCGAGGGATTCTGTCCAGCAAAGGATACTGCAGGCCTGAGGCCACAGCACTGGTGCGATAACCTCCAAGGCGCTGCCCACTCTCAGAACAGTGCCAGGCAAACTGCTTGTCTTGTCCCGTGCTCAGCACCCACTCCAGCTCCAGGACAAACAGGACCATCGTCACTCTGCTCTGATGTGCTGAAAACCAAGAGACAAGAAGACAACCTATAAAGCAACCCAAAGAGTTTGGAATAGCATGGTCCACAGAGTTGTATTGTTCTCCTCTCCCCATTCTGGAAAAAGCTGACGATATAAGCTGTTTGTAGGGACAGGGAATAACAGTGGCTGCCAATCCAAGAGTCAATAATCCAAGAATTACTGACTCAGAAAGTTCTTTACCCGAGGGTCTAGACCACCTTCAACACAGTAGGGCTGCTGGACTAGAAAGCATCAGATCCAATATGATCACAAAACACATCAGGGATGACTTCTGAATGCAGTCACTGTAGTCAGTTTATATGCACTTCCAAAAACAGTAAAGAGCACACTGTTCTTCTGATGTAGACTGTTTTATAAACTCAACAAAATTCTAGATAAACAGCTTTCTCTTGGAAATCAAATGCTTAGAAAGGAGGGCAGAATTATAAAAAGAGAATAAAATATTCTTTACACCAAAGTATACATCTCCCTATTTCACACATGGGCAAAGTGAGGAACAATAAAGCGGAGTCTTTAGGCTGAGGTCTCGTGGCTTCTCAGTTACCAAAACAGATGGGAGGATTTTTGCTTTCTTATTATACGATTCCAGAGAGTGAGGTGGAGAGGACTGCAGTCACTGCAGAGCTGACTGGAATGAACATCACCTGTCTGGCAGTCTAATGGGGCAGGAGCATGCTAGTGAGTGAAGACATAAGTTTCCCATTTTGATTACCACACAGAGAGTCTGGAGAGATAAATGCAACTCTGCTGGCAGTAACACCATCTGCCAATTTCTGAGCACCTAACAGGTGCCAGGTATTTAAACGCATTCTGTCTCTTAATCATTACAATTACCCTGCAAAGTGGGTGCTCTGATTTTACAACAAATCCGAAGTTCACAAGATGGCCCTTTTAGATTGGCTACCATACAATATAGTCAGAACCACAGGGAACACCCATGGATACTCATTTCAACAAATGCCTGATACTGTGAAACCTGACATTTGAAACATGGAGAATCTTAGAAGATATGGAAGTACTAATACTGTGACCTCTCTACAATACATCCCTCCTTTTCAGAGTCCCAACCACTATCAAGATCAAAATACTGCCTTTGGGCTGGGGTTGTGGCTCAAAGGTAGATTGCTCACCTAGAATGCGTGAGGCAATGCTAAGTTCGATCCTTAGCACCACATAAAAATAAAATAAAGATATTGTGTCCACCTATAACTAAAAAATAAATATTAAAAAAAGATATGGAATATCCCCAATTCTCTATTCCCCCATCCTTAATCAAATACTAATAATCTATTGTCTGTCTCTATGGATCTTTCTATTCTTGACATTTCATATAAATGTATTCATACTATATGTGGCCTTCTGTGTCTGGCTTCTTAGCATTCATTCATGCTATAGAATATATGCTTTCAGTTCTCTCAGGTATATAACTAGGAATAGAAATGCTGTATCATAAGGCAGCTTTAACTCATTAAGAAACTGAAAAATTGTTTTTTAAAGTGGCTATACCATTTTACATTCCCATCAGCAATGTGTGAGGGTTCTAATTTCTCTACATTCTTGTCAATTCTGGTTTATTGGGCTGGGGATATGGCTCAATGGTAGACTGCTTGCCTTGCATGTGCAAGGCCCTGAGTCCAATCCTCAGTGCACGTGCGCAGACACACACACACACACACACACACAAGCATATAAACAAATGTGAACCCCCAAACCCCCAAACAAAAAATCTACATTGATTTATTTCTCAATATTTACTGAAAAACTCAACTATGTTTTAGGTACTGCACTACATCTGCACTACATAATTTACATATGCAGTCTTCAAAAATATTTTTATTGTGGTAAAATATACATAACATAAAATTACCATTTTAACCATTTTTAAGTATATAGTTCTGTAGCATTAACTACAGTCACACTGTTGTATAACAATCACCACTTTTGGAGCTCCAGAACTTCCACATCTTCCCAAACACAAATTCTGAACTTGTTAAACACTAACTCCCAATTTCCCCTTTCCTGCAATTGTTGGCAGCCACCATTCTGTTTCCTGTCTCTAGTAATGGGACTGAAGTAAGTACCTCACAGAGGTGGAATCCTTTATTACTTGGCCTTTTGTGACTGGCTATGTCATTGAGCATACTGTCTTCAAGGTCCATCCAGATTGTAGCATGTGTCTGCATTTCCTTCCTTTTTAAGGTTGAATAATTCCATTCTATGAATATACCACATTTTGTTATCGATTCATCTCTCAGTGGACTTTCAGGTTGCTTCCACCTTATGGCTATTTTGAATAATGTTGCTGTGAACAAGTGCATACAAATATCTGTTTGAGCCTCTGCTTTCACTTATTTGTGGAATATACCACTTAATAATTTTTGAGTATTAATCTGACACTACATTCCTGGGATAAACCTCACTTGATCATAATGGTGAATTTGCTGAAATTTTGATAATATATTTTACATCTATTTTCATGGAGAACGATGGCCTATAGTTTTCTTGTGTTGTTTCTGTATAATTTTAGTGTTAGGAAATACTGTTATGTTTTAGATCCACCCCCACCTCAAAAAAAAAAAAAAAACATTTGGGGCTGGAGTTGTGGCTAAGTGGCAGAGCGCTCACCTAGCATGCGTGAGGCATTGAGTTTGATCCTTAGCACCACATAAAGTAAAATAAAGACACTGTGTTCACCTATAACTAAAAAAATAAATATTAAAAAAAGATTATGTTTTGAAAGTATGGACCTTGACCCAGCAAAGTTCAAAGGTGGGGCTTTTAGGCAATGATTATAGCTCTGACTCTTTGTTGGATTAATCCATTGACAGGTGAATTGACTCCTGGGAGATAGTAGGTAGTAGTACTTTGGAGGAGGTGGGTCACTGGGAATTGCCCTGAGAGGGTTTATCTAGTCACAGCCCTGCTTCCTGGCTGCCAAGGGCTGAGCAGCTTTCCTCAGCCACATCTTTCTGCCATGTTTGTGCCTCGCTTCAGGCCCAGAGCAATGGAAGTCAGGCGACCACAAATGAAACCTATGAAACCACGAGCCCCAAATTAACCATTCCTCCTCAAAGTTGTTCCTGTCAGGTATTTTGTTCACAATGACAAATAGCTGAATGATACAGGTTGGAAAGTCTTTAATTTCTTCAATTTTCAAAAGAGTTTGTGTATACATAATATTATTTCTTCCTGGAATGTTTCAAAAATCCACCAGTGAAGCTATCTGGCGCAAAAGCTCTCTTTGTAGGGATATTTTGATTATAAATTATTTAATTTTAATAGACATAGAGATTTTAGGATTATTTATTTCTTCTTGAATGTCTTTTTGCAGTTTGTGCTTTCAAAGACTCATTCATTTCATTTTTCATATTTATCAGCACGAAACCATTAATAACATTTCTTATTTTCCTTTAAACATACCCAGTCTCTGTAGTAATGTCACTTAGATTATTTCCAGTACTAGATTAAATTCCAGATAATTTAATAAGTCTGGTTAGAGATTTATCACATTTATTAATCTTATAAAAATTAGCTTTCAGTTTCATTAACTTTTCTGTGTTTTCTATTTATGAACTTCTGTTATTATCTTTTCATTCTTGTGTTTAGATTGTTTCTCTCACTCTTCTTTTGTCCTTTTTTTCTTTTGTTCTTTTCCCTTTTTTAAGGTGAAAACCAAAGTCATTGATTTAGATCTTTCTTCTTTCCTAATACAGGTGCTTAATGCTATAAATTTACCTATAAGTTCTGCTTTAAGAGCATCATATAAATTCTGGTATGTTTGCTTTCATTTTTATCCAGTTCAAGACACTAATTCCTCTTTTGTTTTATTCATTGACCCATCAACAATGTTATTTAGTGTCTACATATTTGGGAATTTTCCAGAGATCTTTCTAATATTGACTCCTTCTTTAATTTCATTCTGATCAAAGAACATACCTTATATATATATGACTTAAATCCACCAAAATTTATTGAACCTTTTTTAATGACATCAAATTTATCTGTCTTAGTAAACACTATGTGTACATTTAAAAATAACACATATTCTGCTTTAGTTGGATGGAATTTCTACAGATGTCGATTAGACCAAGATCATTGGCTTTGTTGTTCAAGTCATCTATACTTTGATTTTCTGCTTATCTGTCATACCAAATATTTATATACTCAACAAATTATTGAGAGGACTATTAAAAACTTCAGACCATAATTGTGGAAGTATTCAATTCTCCCTAAAGTTTCATCAGGTGTTGCTTCACATAAAGATATTATAGGATACATAAATACTTGAGACTGTTATGACATTGTGATGGATTGGCAGACTGGCCTTTATCATTATGAAACAATATCCTTTATCCCTGGTAATATTCTTTGCTCTGAAATATACTTTGATATTAACAGAGCTATTCCAGCTGCATTGGCTTTTCATCACTGTGGCAAACACCTGAGAAAAATCACTTGGAAGAAGAAAAGTTTATTTTGGTTCATGGTTTCAGGGGCTTAAATCCATCTCCATTAGCTCCAAGGCAGAAACATCAAGGTGGAAAGGCATAGTGGAGGGAAGTTGCTCAGTTGTGGCAGTCAGGAAGGAGTGGAGGGAGGGGGGAGGGAGGGGGGAGAAAGAGAGAGAGAGAAAAGGAGAGAGTGCATGCAAGAAAGTGTGCATGCGAGAGAGCAAGCACATGCTCACAAGGGAGAAGTCAGGGACAAGATATAGTCCCTGGCTTAAGGGCATGCCCCCAGTGACCCACTCCTGCCAACTGTGCCCCACCTGCCTATATTTTCCACAACCTCCCAGTAATCCATTCAGCTATCAATGGATTAATCTACTGATGAGGTCAGATCCTTCATGATACAATTACTTCTCCAAATTTCCAGCTCTGGACATTGTTGCACTGGGGACCAAGTTTTCAATACATGAAACTTTGGGGGACATTTTAGAACAAACAATAACATTCCACTCCTGACCCCTAAAAGCTCATGCCCATCTCACAATGCAAAATATAGTCCATCTCCAAGAGTGCCATAATCTTAACGTTTAGCACTGCTCAAAAGTCTAAGTCCAAAGTCTCCTCTGGGACACAATGCTACAGGATCACAGGCAAGTCACCCAAACTTGTTGGGCCTCAGCAACTTAATTCACAAACTGTGATATTTACCTCCAAGGTTGCTCTGCTTTGTTCCTTTGACCATGACAAGAAAGTCTTTTCTAGTGGCAGTGAAAATCACCAAGTAATATATTAAAGTCTGGGCAATAAAACACTAACTCCCTACCTTGATAGTTTTTCACAGGAGTCATCTTGTTATAATCTTCTGACAAAATAAACTCCTGCAAAAGAAAAGAAAAATATTAATCAAAAGGAAATTCTTTAAGTGAATAACTATGTTTTGGCAAAATCAGATTGCAGAAAGTCCGTATCATCTCAGAATTATACCTAACATTATTTTGCCAATTGCCTCAGCATTTTTGTTTCTAAAAGCAACCATAATTATGATCCATGTAAGCATCATAATTTTTATCTTACAACTCTTAAGTTGACTATTTTTGTGCATACAGAGAAGAAAACTGAATCAAGTTCAGAGTCTTGATGTTGGTCAATTTTAAAGATCAAACTGTATTCAAATCCTTTCCTCTCAATGGTGCCACAGTTGAAAACTTGCAAGGCTCTGGTCAGTGAGCAAATAGATGGCAATTTTCTACTAGAGAAATAAAGTAGATATTGCTAATGTTAGCAATTTATTTCCCCTTACTATAAACTTCTTGAAACTGCATCTTACTCATTCCTTGTATCTCTGGGGTGCATGACATAGTACCTTGGCACAGTAAGTAACAGATCAATATTAGTCAGCCTCCCAATCCAATGAGATTAGTTTGGATAGCAAATATACTGGGGGGATAAACAGTTCTATATAGCACATTGTATACACCCTTTGTAGGGACACATAAAGGTGAGTGTGTGGGGTTTCACCCACGCATCTATGTAGATAGTGATGCACATGTGGAAGTCAACCAAATATTCAGGAGGCCCAGCCCTGTTTTGACTCCTTTAGCTTCTCCCACATGCAAAATATTCACTTATTCTTAAAAAGAAAAAAAAAGTTGTCAAACACAAGGAAAGTTGCAAAGTATAATAAAGCAATGCCTTCATCCGGGCTTAAAAACAGAACAATAAATCTTTTCACAACATTTGGAAGCATCCAGAATTTTTCTCTGATGATTTTTTAAAAAGAAAGGTGGGAGGACAGATACATAAACTCCTTTATTGCTATCTAATATTTACTGAGTTCATACAGATTATGTAACTTTTTAGAAAAAAATATTTTATTGTTACTGTGATAAATGTCACAAAGATAAAGCAGGAGGTGATGTGAGAGAATATACCAGGCAACCACGCTTCTTTCATTCTCCACTTTCCCATCCCAGCCCCCTTACAAAGCCTGTCTACAAATGGATTTCCTTCACAATGATTTTCTCAGTAATAACATTATTCAACCTGTCACTTTTAAAATTCATATCATTATTCCTTCAAGGAGTAGCACCATATCCATTTCTCATTTCTGAAGAGTTTAGACTCACAACTGAGCAGAGCAGACTAAGTTTTAAAGAAATAAAGTAGTATGCCCATAAGGAGCTGATTGACAGTGTGGGTAGAGAAGGTTGCACAGGCCCAAGAAGCAGCTCATTACGAAACCTTTCATTCCATGGAACGGGTCACAGCACTGAGCACCACATGTCAGAGGGCCCACATATCTACACATACACACACAAACACACTTCCACATGTGCATCACTGTCTACACAGATGTTTGGGTGAAACCCCACACACTCACCTTTTATGCGTCCCTACAAAGGATAGATATAGTGTGCTATATAGAACTATCCCCCCGCCCCATTATTTTTGCTATCCAAAGATACTACTATTTGGACAAATGTTTACTGAGTTCATAAAGTTCATGTTATTTTAAATATACTGAAAGGGTTCTCTGGCTGGGCAAAGATACCTCAATTCCTCTTGGAACAAGGCAAAATACAAAATAAAAGAACTCAATGCAGGTTTGCACATTAGAATTTAAAAATATACATACAAAATTAAATATTACCATTTCATGACACTAGTGAACCCAATTTTTTGTTCATTTGCTTTTCCTATGATAATAAAAATACATAATCATGAATAAAATTTGGAGATTTTGTCACTTTCCATTATTATTTTTGATCACAGAAACTCTTCTAAAAAATCTACAAGGATAATCATTTAAAGGTCCCTTGTGGTACCATTTGTTTAGATAAGATATTATGAAAAGTATTATTGTAATAATACCTATAATAAAACAAAATGTTAAACTACTTGGACATACTTTTTACCTTTAACAAATCATGTGAATTACTAAAGGACTACGTATTCATAAACTTCATTCTTTTTAATGAATGCACAGAAAATACTGGAATGTTCTTTCCCTGAGGAATATATTTATATTGTTTCCTATTTTTCTCATTTAAATGTATTTTGTTTTTTATGTAAATCGAGTAGTAGTTCTATAAAAGTTCTATAAGTAGCATGATTTTTGGATCAGAGTATGACCATTAAAATTTTGATAGACATTGCTAAATTTGAGTTTTAAAAAGACTGTATCTAATAACATTCAAACAATATAATATAAAAGCCTGACTATAAATTAGTTTACTTCCTTAGGACTGACCAATCAAAGAAAAATTAGATCAAACATTCACACACTTTAAATTATTTTGGATAAAAATAATTTCTATTCTTCTTTCTTTTATTCTGCTTTCCTCCTTACTATCCAACTGTTTATCAGTCTATCACTCAATTAATTTTAATGTTCATTCTAATATATAAGACAATATAGGATATACAAAGGAAAAGTAAATAATTGTCTCTACCTTCAATCTCACTCCTTTTGAGGGAACCAGTGTTAACAGTCTGGTGTTATCTTTCCACACCATTTTTTAAACACTTATTAGACATATTATAAACATACACATGTAGATAGGGTTTTGTTTTGTTGTACAAAACTAGGATCACATTATAGATGGTACCTTTATCTTGCTGTTTTCACTTAAAATATGTCATAGCTACCTTTCTAGAAATCACATGGTTCTAACTTATTCTTTCTGATGGTTCTATAATACTCCACAAAATGGATATGCCATACTTTATTCAAGTCCTTGCTCCTTAAAATGGACATTCCACTCATCTACCATTTTTTATTGGAAAGGTTTCTGCACATATACCCATATGAATTAATGCAGATGTGGGAAAGATTGCTGGCTCAAGGTTATGTACATTTAGTGTTTTATTAAACATGCTGGATCATTCTCTAGGAAGTGCCGTAGTCATTTACCCCTACCCATTTTGTAAGACGGCATATTTTCCCACATCTCACTAGTACTGGATGTTACCCATCTTTTCAATTTTTGCCAAACTGATGCACATATTCACACAAAAGGAACCTGGTTGTGGTTTAATGGGTGTTAATTACTCCATTTATAAACTGGAACTTTTTTTGTAATGTTTATCTGCCTCTTTAATTTCTTGTTCTATGATATCTCTGTTCAAATCTTGTTTTATTTTGTTCCCTCAGGCAAAGCTTAAGTCTAATGCTTTGTTTGGAGGTGCAATATCAGCAGTGTAAGTGAGGGAACAGCAAAGCAAAGCAGAAAAAGATGAACAGTGTATCACTCCCAAGTTGGCTATTCTTGAGCTCACAGGAGGTTTCTAGATAGACAGAACTGAAACACTAGGTCTGAAAAGAATTCACTAAGGGATAGAGGGATGGAGAAGAAATTTATCTGCCAGCCCTCTCCCTTCTCCCTTTGAATTTTGATCATAGCTCAGGGGAGATTAGCTTCCCCCTCCTTCTAGAAAGTTGTACTACCTAGTCCGTTTGCAGCCACTGGGGAAGTCAGATCTTCAGCCTAGCAGTGCTGTGCTCTGAAAGTGCTCTTTTCTGTGCATCTAGAAAGTAGCAGGGGAACCAGACATTCTAGGCTTTAGGCTCAGGGTGTAACAAGAAACCCAGAGGGTCTAGGAAACAAGTCGAGAAAATCGGAAGCAGGGGATATGGCGTGGCCTAGGCACTCCCTTTCCCCTTTTGTCTCCGGTGGTCTTTGATTATTAGGGATAGTAATCCCTTACATAATACATACATTGACAATATTCTCTCTCCTGATATTCTGGCCTTTGATATTACTTAATAAATATTCTGCAGTACTGAAAATTTTTAAATAATAATCGTAGCATTCTGAGTTGAAATTGTACTAGATGTTTGAAGTTTTAATTTTGGAAAAAACTGTATTTCAGTTGCTTACCATGAGGAATGTACTCAGATTGTTCAACACAATCTTTCTTTACTAGTTAGAAAGAAATTTTTTTTTTCTCATTTCAACTTCATATATACTAAAAACAGCTTTTGGAATAACACATATTTTAGTATGTTATCATAATATTTAATATGGCATTGATTGTTGATGTCAGAAAAACAACCTTGGCCAAGTTTAGGTACTCATCTCTATTTTAGTTTTATCCAGAGTTTTCATTAATAGTAGCTGGTGAATTTAATTAAATGTGTTTTTGGTATGTATTACACAAACTTTAAAACATCCTTCAATTTATAGAATTAATTATTCTAATAAATTGCCTAACACTGACTCATTCTTGAATTCCCAAAGTAATCCCAACTTGCCATGGTGTATACTTTTCTATTACTGTATTGCTGAAGTTCATGTGCTAATATTTTAAAAGAATTTTCACACACACTTGTCCACAATATTATTGGTCTGCAGTTTTCCATTTTGGTGCTTTTTGGGGTTTTGGTTTAAAGTTAAGAAAAGCAGAACAGGGGTTAAGAGCTTGAACAATTAGAGACAAACTGTCTGATCTAAACCCCAGCTAAAACACATGCTAGTAATATGATTTTAGACAAGCTGTTTGAATCTCTGCTTCATTTTCTTCCTCTATTGTGAAGACTGAGGTAATGTTTATAAAGCATATAAAGCAGTATCTGGTACACAGTAAGTACATATTCTACGAAGAGTAGAGCAAAATAAATATTATCTTTTGTACAATAAATTTAAGGAGCTGTCCCTATTTTAAAAATTCTCTGAAATAAAACTGAAAAACTCAGAATTGGAGAAAATTCAGCTCTTTAATCTTTCCCCCTTAAGTCAGCTTTTTTGCTGCTGTGACCAAAAGACCTGACAAGAACAATTTTTAGGACTCACGGTTTCAGAGGTCTCAGCCCATAGACAGCTGGCTCCATTGCTCTGGGCCCTAGGTGAGGCAGAACATTATGGCAGAAGGGTGTGGT